AGAGAGAGAGAGAGAGAGAGAGAGAGAGAGAGAGAGAGAGAGAGAGAGAGAGAGAGAGAGAGAGAAGCAATTTGGTAACAGACATAAAGGTCCTCAAAAAATGCCCTTTCAGAAACCTGTGCTGAAAAAACAGATCAGAGTAAAGGGTTCCTGCAGAAGGATGTCTGCGTGGCACCCTTGAGAGTAAAGAGGTCTGGGAACTTAAATGAATTAAAATATGAGAGTCCAATAATTCCTTGGTTTGTAGTAAGGGCTGCCTAAATGCTTTTAAAAAATAAAGCAAAATGACAAATTCTACCAGCTCTGTGTTGTGAGACTTGAAAAATGTACATTATTTTCTGTGTTAAAAATTTCAGAGGGAAAGAAGCAGAAGTGTTGACAGCAGCTGCGTTTGGGCGGTGGTGGGTTTATGGGGGTTTCATTTTGTGTTCTAGATTTTTCCATACTTCCCAAAGCTTCCACAAAGAATATGAACTGCTTTCATAGGAATATGTTTTGAACAAGAGCAGGGGAAATTTACAAGCCTTGGAGAGACCCCACAGATGAACATGCCTGGCTGCCCCTTCTCCCACTGATCTCTGTGGGGCCTTTGTCAGGTGGGGGGATGGGACTTGGGGGTCTCCAGGCCTCTAGTAGCCCTAACCTACCTTTGCCAGCCTGAGGGGAAGGCTGCCACTCACCCTCCCCACCCTTCAACTGCAGGGAGCAAACTGTAGATGTCAGAGGTTGGGCTCTTCCTTGCCTCCTCCTCCATGGAGCCCTCCCTGACCTACGTTTCTAGCTGACCCATCTAAGCAACTACATGCTGCAAAAACTTGTCAAGTCCTTGTAGTATCTCATTTTATTTCCCGTATTGCTCCTCCCCAGTCTACGAGCCCTGTGGGACAAATCCCTGATGCTACCCTGGACCTTGCTTCTCTAGCTTCCTCCTATTCCAGCTTGTTCAACACCCATGCCCCCGCCTCACCTCAGGGCCTTTCCCCCTGCTATGAGCCCCCTCCCAGAACACTCCTCTTCCCACCTCCTTGCCACCAGGCTGCTTCTTTCCTTTCATACCTTGGTTCAAAAGGCCAACTACCAACCCGTGAAGCCTCCACTACTTATCTGTTGAACACTTGACACGAATTGATGCATTTAAGCCTCACATTAATCTGGTGACATCAGGCTGTCAGGACCCCCACTCTACAAACATGTTGAATGGGTAGACACTGAAATGAATTAGCACACACCAGTTCCACTCAAGCAAGGTGGAGGCTGGGGCTGGCTGCAGCAAGAGTTAAGTGAGACACAAGGAAGAACTGTCGGGGCTTGCACATGGGGACCTTGCTATGTCTGTGTGTCCTGCAGGAAGGAGACCTCATGGCTGCCCTGGGAAGCATGTCTGGAATGGAGGTTGCCTCTCAGAGATCCCAAGGCTGGGCCGGGTGGGGCCCCTGGCTGGGGGCCAGAGTCGCAGGGCTGGGTGTTTGGGATGGACACAGAACAGAGGGGTGGTGCCAGGAGCTGGCCAGGAACAACACACAGGAGGAAGCACAAAAACACAGCTGGGTCAGGTCCCCACCCTCCAGCTGTGCCCTCCAGTCCCACCACAGGGCTCTGGCCACCTGACATTTGAGGCTGGGATGAGGACCTGTGCCCCACCTCTGAGCCCTGCTACAGGTTCAGGCCAACCTGTGTTTAGATCTCCTTGGCTGTGTGACACAGGGCAGGTGCAGCTTCTCCCCAAGCCTCAGTTTCCCTAACTATAAACAGAGTTGACCTGAAAATCATCAGTAGAAGCAGCGACAAGCACTGATTGAGCACTAACTGTGTGCTGTATTCACAAGCATCCTGGAAGTGGGGACTATTACGCCACTTCACAGATAGGGCAACTGAGGCCCAGAGAGGTGAAGTTGCTCACCTAGGGAGACAGCAAGAAATGGATTTGAACCCAGGATGTCTGGCTGCACAGCTCCCCTCTTTCGCTCCTCCATGGGTGAAACACTTAGCATAGCACTCCATACCAGGCTAGTGTCCGATAAAGAACAGCTGTCATTATTATGAATCATTCCGGCAGCTTCTCCCAGGAGCCTCAGCGCGGAGGTGGGGGGGCAGCTGCATTGTGCACATCCCACATCCCCTTTTTTGGCATGAGAGCTCAGCACTTCCTTCAGGGAGCACCCCTTTCCTCCCTTAGGACTTGGCCACAGGACTTGGGTGGGGCTCCTCTACCCTTAGGATCCCCCTCACTGCTGGGCAGTGAGGGACACAATCATTAGCTTGGTGTCAGGCATATGACCCAGGCCAACCAATGAGCACCACCCCTGGAATTTTTATTGGCACTATTTGGACTGAGGGGCTTTCCTTTCATAGAGCTGCAAGGACAGATGCTAAGAGCAGTGGGGCCACCTTCGCCCGCCTGAGAGAGAAGCCTCCAGTATGCACTGAGGAAGAGAAAGAGACTTAGAGACTCCAGGGCACCTAGATACAGCTGTGCCTGAAGCTGTCCCTAAGTTACATGAACAACACATTTCCCTTCCATTGCTTAAACTGGTCTGAGATTGGTTCCTGCCACTTACTGAATAAACAGGAAGGAATTTTTGCCTAGCAAACCAACAGCCTTGGGGACCCTCCCACCAAAATACCACCTGCTTTCTGGACACTTACAATGTGCTAGACATGAGGATGCACACTTAACAGACACCCAATTTCTCTGCACGGCCCCTACTGCACTGAGTTAGTGACACAATTTTGTCTCATTTTTGCAGATGGTGAGACAGTGGCTCTGAGAGGGGCAGCAGTCTGTCTGGTAGAAGACCAAAGCTGGGGCTGGACCCTGCTGTTCAGATGAAGAAAGAGGGACCCTCTCCACCACCCTCCCTGGCCAGTTATGGCTCACCTGCTGCCCCATCGCAGCTTCGTTCTGTAATGCTGATCTTCTTCACCAGATGGATGTTGCCAGTGGATGCAGTGGGCGCGGGGAACACTGTCTCCACCACCTCATGGCTGCGGAAAACAGGGGGGCTCTCGGCCTCTCCAGATGTCACTAGGGCCCGCAGCCCTGCCCCGTAGGGCTCCAGGCTCTGGGCCCGCTGCGCAGGGGCCCCAGCGGCTGTGCTGGCTGCCACCTCCACCTCCCGCGGCCCCTCCACCACCCGGACGGTGTCCACGCGGACTGGACTGTCTGGAGGTGGCCAGGCCTGAGGCTGGGGGTCAGCCTGCCGGGCCTGAGCTGCCTGCAGCTCCTGGAGCGCTTTCTTGAGCTGGGTCTCCAGCACAGCAACCTTGGCGGCAAGGGCTGCCTCCCCATCAGGCATGCCCAAGTCTCGCTCTCGGACCCAGGTGCCCACGCTCCGAGTCTCAAGAGCCACTGGGTCCTCAGGGGGCTCAGGGAGGTCCAGGCAGAGCTCGCTGCGGCCCCGGGCCCCGGCAGGGTGGCCCAGGAATTTCTGGCTCTTAAGCTGCACCGTGAGCTGCCGCTTTTCCTCCTGCAGCACCGAAAGCTTCACCTGGAGCACGGGAATCAGCTTCACCTGCTCCTCCAGCTGCCGCAGCTTCCGCAGAGCACCTGCCATCTGCTCTCGCACATGGGCCAGGTGCCCGGCGCTGGGTGCCACGGGGGTGGACAGTCCTGAGCCCCGTGGCGTAGGGGGTGGCAGCCCCACGCCCACCAACGAGCTTGTTGAACCGGCGGCGCTGGGTGTCAGGGAGCCCAAGCCAGTGGGTGCAGCAGCCTGATCCTCCAGGCGGCGCCGGGCATCCAGCAGCGTGCGCTCCACACGGGGATTGAAGCCACCGCGGGCCTCCAGGGCGCCATACTGAGGGTAGAAGCCTCGGCCGCAGTAGGAGTAGGCCGAGTGGCGGCTGTCCCCACTGGCGTTGGAACACAGCGACTCGGTGGACGTCCACCAGGAGCCAGGGCCTCGGGGCAGCGAGCCAAGGCGGGGCCTGCGCTGCACGGCCACTCGCCGTAGCGTGTGGCCCTTCTCAATGTCGTCCACATACTTGAGAAAGTCCAGGTCCAGGCGGTAGCCATAGGGCGTCTCCACGGAGTAGGGTGGGTCTGTCTCCTTGGCAGGGAAGGCAGACTGGGAGGCTGGGCCGGGAGTCCCTGGGGAGGGGAGAAACATTAGCACCTCTGAACACTGTTGTCCCCTCTGAGGGTTAGACTGATGTACCCCGGAGAGCCAAGGTTTATTTGCCCAAGGGATGGCAAATAAAGCCCACTGGGTCCTCACCTGCTCATCTGTGTCTCCAGACTCAGACCCACCCCCTACAGGTCAGGGCCTGGTGTCCCCTCTCAGACTCTCAATGGCAGAGCTACATTGTTCCCATTTAAGCCCTCAAGGCAGGGCTGTGTCTCATCCTCAGCCCCACCCCCACTCCAGGTAGGGCCCAGGGCAGGTCCCTCTTCCCTCCCTCAGGCCTCCAGGACAGGCCCATCTCCCCGCAACCCCCACCTCCAGCCCCTGGGCAAGCAGGGCTCTCCTCCCCAGATTCCTGACCTGGGAAGGCGGCTGGCACGTGCAGGACTTGCGCCATCCTCTGGTCTGCAGATGCTCCTCAAGAGTCACTGGGAGACCCTGAGTCAGACCGCCTGCAGCACAGGCTGAGGTTTACCTGGAGAGAGGGGGCGATGGAGGCCGCAGTCAGGAAGGATCTGCAGGGGGAGGAGAGGGAATGTGGTCACCCCCCTCCACAGCTGTTCCCTCCAACACCCCTCTTTCCTGGTACGGGACCCTTTCATAGGCGTACACCCAGCCTGGCTGTGGAAAGGGGTGGGGGGCCCCCACGGCCTGGAACAAAGAAACCAAACCTCATAGCCTGCCGGCACATCTGTCCAGACCCTGGACAGGCTCCAGCTGTTCCCATAGCCCCGCCTCCACAAGGCCCCCAGCCCAGGGGCCCCAAGCCTTACAGGCCCCGCCCTTCCTGCACCCCCTCCCCTCAGTCCAGGCCAAGAGCTTGTTATGGGGGCTGAGGTGGGCAGGGGTCTGGGGTGGTAATAGGGAGACAGCCTTCCCACAAGGATGCAATGAAACACAGACCCAGGGACACAAAGAGAGCTACAACTCAGGGCAGAGGACCCCAAAACAGAGCTGGGTCAGGCCAGCCTGGGTGGGGGGTGGCAGGGAAAGTTGTGGGGAGGCAACAAGGAGCAAAGCCTTTCCCCTTTATGGAAACAATTTTCTCTAAAAATAAACAGTTTCGGAGCCGGGCTACAGGAGAACTTCCTGCCCCCCCAGGACACGTCCGGCTGGGAGGGGGCGGTGTGTGCGCACAGCAAGGACAGAAGCCGGGGCGGTGGCCCGGGAAGTCATGGGGGTGCAGGGAGGAAGTAAGAGGGGACGCCTGGAGGCTGCAAAGGGGAGGGACAATCAGGGCTTCTCACTAACCCACCTCCCAGCCCTGGATTCCAGCCAGGGTCCTTTTGTCCCCAACATTCTGCCTGAGCTTACCCAGTCCTCTCTGCTGTGTGACCTCCAGCCACCCTGCTACAGAGGACCCGGCTTATCCTGCCACCAGAGAGGACCCTTTCTGGCCTGTTGGTGCCAGGGCAGTGGGTACCTGGGAGGATGCACCAGGTGGGGCACCTGCCGGGCATGAAGGCAGGGCTGGGGCTTCAGGGGCTGCCGAGCTTGTCCTTGTCTCACACCCTGGGTGTCTCTTGCTTAGCGTCTTGCTTTCTCTCTCTCATCCTGGTCTCTCTGCGTCTCTCCACGTCTGCGTCTCTCCACACCTCTGTCTCTCTGCGACTCTCTCCACTTCCCTCTCCCTGTCTCTCCACGTCTCTGTCCTCACTTCTCTGTCTTGCAACACCTGGAACACATGGTCACTGATGGTAGGAAATTTGGCTTTCCACCTGTCTGGAGGTTCATCCCCTGTACAACACAATCAAAAATATTTTCTGGGGACCTGAGAGAGACTGGAGGCACGGAGCAGGGTTGGATTAGCCTGTAGGGGCCCCTGGAGGTGGATAGGGGTGGGGCAAATAGTCTCTGAGCAACTCATTTAGTCATCAGACAACCCCACCGGGTGGGTAGTTACCATCGTGTTTCACAGATGGGGAATCTGGGGACACAGAAATGTGCAGTGACTTGCCCAGGGTCACTGGAGGGGCAAGTGTTTGGTCCTGGATTTGAACCCAAGCCCGGCAGAGTCCCCTACTGTGGGCCAAGCCATCCTCACTCCCACTCCACATCCCTTTACCCATTTCCCATACACAGAGATTGAAGTCTGGGGGTCTCCAGCCACCTGACTGCCCTCAGAGAGGGCAGGTGACTCCAGAAAGCACATTGGGGGTGGAATGAGGATGTCTGGGGCTGAGGCCCCTCTCCTTCTATGGACCTCCTGGGGGACAGGGCGGGGGACATAAGATATTGAGAGAACGTCTAAGACAGGACACTTAAATAGGCGACAAGGTAGGGGGCTCAGGAAAAAGGAGCAGGGTTCGGGTGGGCTCGAATGTCCGACGGGGTCTCCTTAAAGCTCCGCTCTCAGACCGGCCTGTATATCTCTGGGGTCTTCCCGCCCTCTTCTAGCCTCAAAAAAGGGGGTGAGGAGGACACCGCCCGTGCAGTGAGGGGCGGGGCCTGCGGGGTCCCCGGCTAATGGCAAACAGCTGCCGCTCCCCACGCTGGCCCAGCCGCCAGGCCTAGGCCCAGTCCGGCCGGACGCCCGGCCGCCTTCCCGCCGCCTGGGGCCTGGGGCCTGGCTCCGGCCCGGCCGCGGAGGAGGGCGAAGGGGAACAGAGAGGGGGGAAAGAGGTAGAGAGGGGGAGGAGATAAGGCAGGGAGGCAGAGGGGGGGCAGTGATGGGGCGGAGAGTCAGGGTGAGAGGTGCAGATGGAGGAGGAGGACGCGGTTGGGGGAGAAAAGCAGTGACGAGGGTCAAAGATGAGGACGGGGCAGAGACGCGGGGACCGAAACACTCAAAAGTCCGTAAAGTTTGGGCTGAGATGGTGGAGTTGGAGGCAGCAGCTGGTAGAGACCCGCGAAGTCGCGCCCCGGGGTTGGAGATGGGGTGGTGACTACGCTCGAACCTCGATTCGGACTCGAACCCCGACCCGAACCCGGGTCCTACTCGCCTCGCGCGCTCCGGCTGCCGCGTCCCTGCGTCCCGCCGCCCGTGCGTCCTCCGCGCGCCGCCGCCCGGCCTCCCGGCCTTCGGCGGTAGCTCCACCCCGCCTCGCCCCCTACGGGCTGTCCCCGCCCTTCAGGACCGGCCCCGCCCCCCAGTCGCCTAAGGGCCGGGCAGCGGTTGAGCGGGGTGTGAGGCGGGAAGGACACAATCGCACCTGGACGGCAGGTGTGTGCGCGCGTGGGGGCGTCCGGCCATGTCCCCTCGCCTCGCCTCCCCTCCCCGAGGCAGAGGCCCCCACCGCTGTCCTGCCCCGACGGCTGCAGCTGGGCCGCGGCGGAGGGCGGGAGGGGGCGGGGCTGGCCGGGGCCCAGCTCCAGGAGGGCGCGGCGGGAGGTCACCCCTCCCCCAGGCGGCCCAGCGCAGGCCTGGTACACTGTGGCGTGACCGCCGCGGGGCGGGGAGGGGGACTGGGTCAGTGAGTGGCTGCACTGGCCGTGGCTAAGTCCTGGGCTCCCTGGCCAGCCAGACCTGGGCTCCATTCCCAGCCGTATGATGCCTTTAAGTGCTCAGAGCCTCGGTTTCCCCATCTGTAAAGTGGGGTTAAGAATGTACCCCAATAATGGTGCTGAGAAGATTCACTAACTATGAGGCAGGGGCCTATGGGAGTTCCCCCAGAGCAAAAAGACCCATAAATGGGGCAGTGTCTTTCTGGGAACCTTTTAGTACAGGGCTGGGCACTCAGCAAGGATTTAATAAATGTTACTATTATTCCCCGTGTACACATGTGACATTTTCATTTGTGTGTTGCCTTCCCCACCAGAACATCAGCCCCACAAGGGCAGGCATTTGCGTCTGTTGTCACTGCTGCGTCCCTGGCACCCAATAGGGTCTCAGTGTCTGTCAAAGATCAGGGTGTATGGACAGACTGCACACATGACCCAGCCCCCAGGGACCACACCACACAGGATGCTTATAAAAAACATTTTAAATTAAAAAAGATAAGAAATATCAGTGCACAGACAGGAACAGACAGACAAAGGGACAGTGGGCCCAGCCCTGTGTGCAATGTGGTCGCCCAACGGCCAAGTGGGTGGTGGGACAGACTCCCAGAAAGCACAGACAGCTGAGGCCAGGGTGCTGGTTCCTCTGGGTGTGGCTTCAGGCCCTGTGGGCTCAGAGGTCAGGCCTCCGGAAACTTGCTCTGTTCAAGGAGTTCCTGAGGGAGGAGTAAGGTGGTCAACATGGCCACAGGGCCCCCAACTCCATAATGCTCCCAGCCCTCTTCCTCCTCCTCCTCCCCTTCCTCCAGAGATCCTTCCAGAATCTTCCCTGTTCCTTTCATATCCATTCTAATCTGGCTGTGGTTTTGCAGATTTTTTCTTGGAACCCACCACTGGAGAGACAATTTGTACCCATTTTTACAGATGCAGAAACAGAGGTTCAGAAAGATGAAGTCACTTGTCGGGAACTAAGCCATCAGGATCCAAAATGGCTGCCCAGAGGATGCATTTGTGCACACATCCAAGTAGTCACATGACAGCCCCCATCCTGTGCCTGTCTGCGCCTGCCTCCTCTTCACCTCTCTAGGGTGGGGGGCCCGGGTCAGGCACCTGAGGCTGGCTGTGGTCGGTGCCAGCAGCTGGGGCAGGCGCTGGGTGAGCAGGGGCTGCAGAGACTCCCGCAGGCGGGTGTAATTGCGCTCCAGCTCACGGTGGTACTCCTTCTGGTCCGGCCCAATCAGGGCCTTGTTCTTCCGCAGTGCATCCTCACACCTGAGGGCCAGATGGCAGGAGGTGCTTAGGCATTGGCACTCAGGAGAGAAAGCAAGACCAGAAGTGGGGGAGTCTATGAAGTGGGGTCAGGAGCTAGAATGGGGGGTCAGGTAAGCAGAGAGCCATGATGGGGGTTGGAGAAACAAATGGGCAACATCAGGCCTACTTCTTGCAGAAGTCCTTGAAACAGAGTCGCAGCTTGTTGTGATGCCTGAAGAGCTTGGGGTCTTCTGGGATCTCCGCCAAAAACACTTGGGCCACCTCCAGGGGACCCTGTGGAGAGAGAGGGGTTTGTGAGGGTGTCTGCATGGCCCCTGGTGGTCCTTGGGCAGCCTGCGTCCCCCACCAGCCGTGCCTGGTTCACAGTGGGCCCCACAGAGCCCTGTAGCACCATCTGCAGCATCTTGGCATCGGGTGGGTCCTGCTCGGTGGCAAAAGCCAGCTCCCGTGTTTTCTTCTGCATGTCCTCGATAGCCACTTCCACTGGCGTCAACACTGTCTGCAGGGTTGGGAGGGGGCATGCACTGGCTGGGGCCTGAAGATATCCTGACCCAGGCCAGCCCAGAGCAGCTGGGGTGGGAGGGGATCCAAGCAGCTGTGTAATGAACAGGGTCTGGGGGCTCCTGCCTGCCGGGATCTGGCAGGATTGGAGGGCCTGGCTCAGCAGCCATTGTCTGGCTCTGGGGCCTTTGGTCTCACTGTGGTCCAGCCTTGTGTCGGCTGAGTCTGGAGGTAAAGATTTGAGGCTACAGATTTGGGTCTGGAGGTTGGAGTTTGGAGTCCCCTTACTTCCCCAACCAGGGCCTGGGGTCCCCCGCCCACCTCCTCCCGGTGGCACACGTGGATGCGAGTCTTGATGTAGGGGAAGGCATGGTCCGTGCTCAGCAGTGTCTTGCGCTTGTGTTGTTCGTGCAGCTCCCCATGCGCACGCCCATCGGGTGTGAAGGGCGTGCAGAACAGAAAGGTGCGCAGCCCGTAGTTGCGGTCGAAGTAGGTCACGCGGTCCTTGAGCTCATAGGTATCGAAATGTGGTTCCACGTATGTGATCTGGATGTAAGCCTGGGGCACGGGGCTCAGGTGTGAGGTTCCCACAGCTCCAACATACCCTCCCCAGGGCTTCCAGGACTCCCAGTGGGTGGGCCTCCATGGATCTGGGGACTTTGCATCTGGGATTCCCAGGTCTGCCTACATGTAGATGTTTGGGAATCCCCTGAGGTTAAGGATTTTGGGGTTCATGAGAGATAAGCTTTGGAGTTTCCCAGAGAAATAGGATATGAGGGTCCCAGGGAAGAATACTTGGAGTTTCCCTGAATACAGGATTTTGGGGACCCCAGGGTGATGGTCGGGAGCCCTCACCTTCTGGGGGTCGAGCTTGGTCTTGTCCACGGGGTTTGAATCTTTGATAATCTCAACCACGTCCTCCCCAAACCTTTCCGTGTAGAACTCCTGGGGACATGGGGCTGACTTGGGCTGCAGAGATACAGCCCCCAATCTTCCCCAGGGCAGCCTCATGCCCCACCCCCCACCCCACCACCACCAAGACGTGCCTCTAGCCGATGTGAGATCTCAGCCAACTTCGTGATGGATGGCTCCTTGTACACAAACTCCTGTTCATCCAGGTCACCGAAGCGGGCACCGTAGAAACCCACACGGAAGTATGTTCCAAATACACGCTGGAGCTGTGGGAAGGGGCACTGTTGCCTAGGAGGCCCTGCTGGAGGTGCCCCTGCCCCCGAGATGCAGGTCCTCGGGTCCCACGTGTGGAAGAGGTGGACGTGGGCAGGGGAGACCCTGAGAATATCGTGGCATGGACCTAGATGACCACCAACTGCCTACACCCTTGCTCTTTCTCCCCAGCTTCTGTCTCCTACCTTCCCTAAATCTTCATTCTCATTTAATACAAGCCCCGAGTTTCTGTTTCTCCCTCTCACCCCATGCAGTTTTTCAGAGCCTGGACCCCAATATAAAATGAGAACTGGGACTATATTGTTCACAGCTGTGCCCTCAGTACCTATGGGGCTGGGTATGCAGCAGATGTTCAACAAGTGCTTGGGACCAAGGTTCTGGCTCCCTTGTTCCAGGGCATCCTCCCCCTCCCCAGCCCTAAGTCTGGAAGGAGGGACCCCACTTAACCAGAAAGGAAGCGGGTGGCTCCATGTTCACTCACCAAGACATATCCGGACAGAGTGCGGCAGGCACCAGGACATGGAGACAGGGAGCAGGGGCAGAGAAACAAAGTCACGGGAGAGGTCAAAGGTCAGTGCCCCCAACCTCCAGGGTCCTGGTTAGGGTGCTCCATGAGAACCATCCCAGGGGCAGAGACCAGAGATCCAGCGAGGGAGGGGACTTACCCTCCCCACCCGGCCCACACCCAGGCAGCCTGCCTCATCTCTGGGTTCTTGCCATCTTTGGCCAGAAAATTCTCCCCAAACTAGGAGATGCCTAAAAATAGACTCAAGTGGGGGAGAGGCAAGAGAGGGGGAGCATTAAATGGCAATGAGGAGCAGAGATCCTGAGGGAAGCTAGGGAGACAGGGAGAGACCAAGAGAGACAGAGAGGGAGTGATCAAAACAGGGAGACAGACAGAGACAGGGAGAGATGGAGGGAAAGCAACCAAGAGGCACAGACAATGAGAAACAGAGACAGAGGGAGACCCCCCCTTCCTAGGCAGTGACCGAGCTGGCCCTGCCCGAGGGAGGGGTGTCTCTGGAGAGCTCCCAGCTGGGTGAGTCACAGGCTGCCCTAGAGATCTGGGGCAGGGAGGGGGGAATCTTAGGGGAAGTAGTGGGGGTACGTCATCACCCACTGAGCCCCAGCCCCTGGAGCCAGACAGCCATGATCCTCCAGCGCCCCCTGGTGGTTTGTGTCTGACTACAGCCGACCTGCAGTCTTGGGGGCCCCACAGGCCGATGGCCACCAAGCTGACTCACCTCCCAGCCAGAGCTCTGTGGGGAAGAGAAGAGTCAAGGTCAGTTGAGGCCGGGAAGGGGGGGGCGGGGCAGGACCAAGGGCAGGGTCTAGGAGGGCATCTGGGCCCACCTGGTGCATGATCTTGGTGAAGGCCTCCTGCAGTTTGCCGTGCACAGCAGCCAGCTTCTTGTAGTCGCGGTGGGCTTCCAGGATGGGGATCAAGGTCTTGTATACCTCATTCACTGCCTCGTAGAGCCCTCCCTGGGGGTGGGAGTGGAGCAAGTCAGAATTTCCAGCACCCTCCCTGGTTCTCTCCTGCACGGGACAACCTTCCCCTGTGTTCCCA